AATTTCATTTAAGATTATGTTAATTCATCCAGTTACTTATAGTCTTCTGAAATGAGCAGAATGTGTACAGAAACAAATGTAATTCCTTCATGGTCCACCCAGTATCAATATAAATATATACTTTTAGATTAAAGCTTGTATTCTGTATTTTAATTTCAGTCATTGTTTCTTTTCACATCCATTTGAGGACGGTAGTCCATTTTCATTAGATCTAAATTAATTATACACTTCATATTAGAAGTGTAGCATAGTTGAGATATGTTGCATAATGCTAGTGTGGTTTTGCAGCTTAGTGTGGTTATATACCAAATTCAGCGGAAGACATGAACAAGATTTCTAAGTAGCCACATAATCTGTACACAAGTTTTCATCAGAGCTCACAGGCTGATTTCGTGGAGTGGTCATCCCCCAGGCATGTTGGCAGACGTCCGTATGAATGGAAAACTATACCAAAAAAAAACACAATATTTGATGTTTTCCTTAAGTACTTTTTTGTCAATATACACTTATTCCAAATTTGATGCCTGCAATACACACTATTGTACATTTGAGTTTGGTCCATCTTTCACTGCATGGATTTTTTACTGCACAAAAGGGCCTTGGCAGGGGTGCGGCCTGTCACCGTTTTTGTTTGATCTAGCCATTGAACCACTTGCCGTAGCCCTGAGAATGCAACAGAGTATTGCAGGTACAACAGAATACTGTAATAACACATAAAGTATCACTGTACATATCCAACCCAACAGAATCAATTCTCAAGTTCTTCCAAAGCCTGGGCCCAGTTGTTAACTCCCTGAAAATATGGTTTCAATTCAGGAAACATTTCCATTTCAACCATGAAAACATTCTCCTTCTGTTAAAAAACCCATTCCCTCCATCTCAAATTGACAGTGCTTTCAAGACATGGCACAGGAATGTATTGGTATTCTTTGGTGAGCTCTTTACGGATGGCACATTTGCTTCTTTGGAAACACAGCGGAAAGATCATAATATTCCGAAGAGCTATTTTTTCAGATATCCTCATATGCATAGCTTTGCTAAGAAACACCTCAAATTTCCCCCCTTACCACCCAAAAATGCAATTTGATGCTATACTAGAATTGGACTTTTATGGGAGCGGCAGGGCATCTGAAATCTATAAATCATTGCAAGATATCCGTCCCCCCTCATGGGATATTGCTAAATTGGCACAAAAGGGAGGATTAGGTTGTCATACTCTCTGATGAGACGTGGCAACGTAGTCTAAAACATATACATACCTCTTTCTGCATAAGAAATGGGCTTGTCCAATTTAAAATCATGTTCTGGTCATGCAATTCAGTAGGTATCTATTGGGAGAGAATTTAGGAAGTCATCTCTTACTTTCAGTGGCACCCCTAAAAATGTTTCATAGGGGAGGTCAGATGGGGCCACTGAAAATCTTGGGGTGGCACACTAAAACCAAATGCCATAACTGAATTTCAGGAATTCTATTATGCTGTTGTAGTATATAGACTACCTGAAAACTATGTCAGTATGAGAGTTAAGGAATGGCATATTGATATACTTTGACTTCTTATTTTACAGTTAATGTTACTAATTATCTGATGTGTGTTAGGGCTGTCAAAATTGGCCAAAAATGATTCGATTATTCCTTCACTCTAAAAAATGCTGGTCTGAAAACAACCCAACCTGGGTTATTTGGCAAACCAGCACTGGGTAAGGCCAGAAACATACACAATGCAAGTATGTGAATGCAAATGACACCTCTCAGACATCGGCCACACTGCAAGTACAAGGTGCATTCTTACACTGCTATAGCGCCCCTTGCTCTAATGGTCAGAATGCAGCTCATGCTTGCGTTGTGTTATGAAATGGGTAGTGACACATTTTTGAGCACAAAACCCCGTCTGCGTAGCTCGAAGCATCTGTATGGCGTGAAGTATGTTTCAGGTTTTAATATTCAACAGAACATATGCTGGGTTATTTTAACCCAACTGGTTGATTTAAGTAATTTCAACCATTGCCCTGGGTTGTTACAATGACCCAGCCCTGGAGTCTTTTTTTACACAATACTGGGATAATTTTTACGATGAATGTTGGGTTGTTTTGTTTCAGTTGATTTATGTATAATAATAATAATAATAATAATAATAATAATAATAAGCTGCAAGTCAAAGAGGAAGGTCTTTTTCTGTTCCTCTGCACACAGATACTGCACCATTGTGGTCCCACACTAATGAAGAAGCCACAAAGTCTTGGGGGTTGCTTGTAAAGTGCACATTAAAATTGAAATCAAATTGAACAACAAAGCATTACTTATCGCAGTATTATATCATTATAGTACTCTATTATTATTATTATTATTATTATTAATTAATTAGTTTATCTGAACTGTTGCATTCTAACATTTCTGAATCGTGACCATAATTTATCAGGGCGAACGTGAATTTGAGGAGGAACTGAATCAGGCGCATTTGGGCGCATATTTTTGAGATGTGCCCTCAGACTGCTAGTGCTGGAATGGTAGGCTGTAGCTTACATAGCCTGCATACAACTTTATTTAAAGGTTTCACAATGTTGCTGTCAACAGACCTTTAAGTGCTGATCACTATCTCTGCGGCTGAGTTAGGTTGTGAACTGTGCCATCATTACCGCATGGTTGTTGAATTATTCACTCGTTTCAGCTGGACCTACATTTCATTTCAAATCATGAGTGAGAGTGTGACTGCTGTCTGTCATGCAGTGCATTCAGTGCAGTGGCCCAGGCCCACGCAAGAACTTGCGGAGCAGGCAGCCACAGTAATGCTGCTTTTTTTTCACAACTGAATATTAATTTTCACAATGAAATGGGTTTTTACAATTTCATTATAAAATCAAACTTAAAATATTCATTGACAGCCCTAGTGCCTAATGTAAATTATCAGATACTATGCTGTGTATTATGCATATGCCAGTTGCCAGGGGGCCACCAGGGGGCAAGGGGCCACCATTGCCTACATTTGAGCCGAGATAGTAGGTCCCAGCCTTGATTGCTGTCTTTGTGGTGTCTCCGTTGGAGGAACAACTTTCTGATCTCCAGGCAAATGCTATAGCTTTTGTAACGCTGCTGCCTCGGAGGTTAATTCTCCTGCAGTGGGAGTTGTTTAAACACTGGATTAAACCTGCAGTAGGTAGTAGTAGACTGAGAAGAGCCTCAGCTTGAAAATTTGAACAAGTACAACTTCTAGGTCCCTTACCCTGTCCACCAGGCTCCAGCCCTGCCTCCAAAGTCCCTCCCATGTCTTGTCATGTTTGCAGTTGTTTGCAAAGGTGGGAAAGATAGTGTTTTGCTTGCTGGAGATTGTTTGTCCATCATTACATTTGCGTTTCCTGAAGCCGCTCACTAAAGATATTTATCTTGACCGAGTTAGAGCATGCACAGGCAGAGATGGTGCGAAGGAAAGGGGCTGTTGCCTATAGCATGTGCACGAGCAGTGATTGACACTCTGTCAGACTGATACAGATACAGATTATCTACTGCAGATTTAAGGTGGTACTTTCTAATATTTCACTAGAGAAAATGATATATAATCGAAATGATTCCTGGGATAGATACCATAAAACCTGGGCACTCCTGGGTTCCATATTGCCTTTTTTGTGAACTGAAAACTGAAAATGTACAAAGGAAGTGTTCAAATAAAAAATAAAAATATTTGCCAGTACTCATTAGGTTGGAAGAGGTTCCAAAATTATTTCTGATGAGTTTGGATCTTATCAATCCACTGTCTGGCAGATAGTGTACGAATGGAAGAAATTCAACACCTTGTTACCCTTTCCTGGAGTGGTCATCCAACAAAAATGACTCTAAGACTAAGGCGTGGAATATTCTGGGAGATCACACAGCACCCCTGGGTAACATCTAAGGATATGCAAGCGTCTCTTAGACTGCCTAATGTCAATGTTCATGAGTCCACAATCAGGCAAACAATGAACCAGACTAACACGTATGGAATTATAGCCATTACTCTCCTGGAAGAACATTTCTGCCATTTTAGAGTTTTCTACAAACAACCTGGATGGGCCACTCCTCAAAGTAATGTTATGCGGATGGAAAAAGCAAAAATAGATTTTTCTAGCATAAGTGAGAGATGTTGTATTTGGCAAAAACAAACACTGCATTCTAGGATAAGAACCTTATCCCAACTTTGAAACATGTTGGTGGCAGTATTAAGGCTTGGGGCTGTTTTGCTGCTATCGGACCAGGACAGCTTGCCAGCATTTGATGGAGCTTTGAATTCTGGATTGTATCAATAAATTCTACAGGAGAATGTTAGGGTATACATCTGTACGCTGAACCTTAACAGAAGGTGGGTCCTGCAGAAAGACAATGACCCTAAAAACACCAGTTAGTCAATAAATATTGGTTGAAGCAGAAGAAATGTTGCATTTTGGAATAGCTGAGTTAAAGTCCAGACATTAATCCAACAGAAATGTTGCAGGTGTGGCGTTCCAGCAAAAGTCTCACCAACATAACAGAGCTGAAGCAGATCTGTAAGGAGGAGTGGGCCAAGAGTCAAAATGCACAACTGATCAGCATCAGGAACCATTTGGTTGAAGTCTTTGCCGCTCAAGAGGGTCACACCAGCTACGGAAAGCAGAGGTTGACATTCTTTTTTTTTAGGCCATACATATATAGAAATTCACAAAATGATACAGGGTTCACAAACTTTCAAGCAGCACTGGATGCTGTTGCAACAGTTGAAGCTGAGTCGCTGAATTCAGTTGTACTGACCTGTGAATTTTGTTTGTAAAATTATAGACTGTTTTCATTTTTTTCTTTATAAATTCTGATGACCAGTGAAATTCTCATGCTATGTATATTTACAGCCTTTCATTCGAGCTTTGCACTTAACTCACAGTCAGACCACTTCCTTTAGTTTCTTCGTGGTTGTGTGTTGTGTGTGTATTATGTGTGTGTGGATGCAAGTGATGAGCTTTCTCACTGCTTCTTGAAACTCCATGTATTTCATCAGAGCTCACCGAGAGGTCTAGTCACAGCCAGCTTCTTACTCTCCATCATCATCATCATCTGTGCTGATAGATATCTTTTTTTTCTAATGGGTAGCAGTGTTTTGTGGGTCTTCATATTTCTTGAGATGATCATTGCTGTAGCATGTTGTCTGGGCAATGTGCTGGTGATCTGGGCAGTGTGGACATGTGGAGCCCTCAGGCAGCCCACCTTCTTCTTCATTGCGTCCCTCGCTGTGGCTGATTTCCTGGTGGGGTCTGTGGCCATTCCTGTAGCTGTGGTGTGGGAAATCCATATGAAGACCTCCTTTTATGGCTGTCTTTTCATGTGCTGTGTTTTCATAATGCTACAGTTGGCTTCTGGCTCTTTACTTCTGGCCATCGCAGTGGACCGCTGTCTCCGTGTACGCATCCCTCTGACGTGAGTTGTCCTTATATTTCAAGTCATAATCATACTTAAGACTTCATTTTAGCACTGTACTACACCTTGAAGATCAACAAGTAGTGGGTGATATACTAGCTAGAAGTCTTTGTAAGGTATTTGTTTCATCAGTACTCCAGAAATAAAAGTTTACAATGTATAAACAGTGTAACTGTAGCCAGCCTTCTTTTAGTAATCACTCATCTCCTGCTGTGTAGTTACTTACAGTCTGAGTTTAAAGTTTTGAGTTTGATTTAGGTTATTATTGAGGGGGCAAACATTAGAGAGACATTATGTGATATATATATATATATATATATATATAGAGAGAGAGAGAGAGAGAGAGAGAGAGAGAGAGAGAGAGTGTCCAACATTAACACTGAACAAGCTTGACTTAATTCCAAGTATACGGACACAACTCTCACTCTGGGAGTACAGAGATTGAATGGCCTGGAGTAGTAGCCCCAGCATCCCATACTCCCGGAGGACCTCCTACAAGATATCTTGGGAAACACAGTTGTAAGCCTTCTCCAAGTCCAAGACTGGGTTGGCAAACTCCCATGCCCCCTCAACAATCTGCGAGAGGGTGAAAAGCTGGTCCATTGTTCCATGGCTGGGACAGAATCCACATTGTTCCTCCTCAATCTGAGGTGCAACTATCAGTCAGAGTCTCCTTTCCAGCACCTTGGCATAAATTTTTCCAGGGAGGCTGAGCAGTGTGACACCATGGTAGTCGGCACACACATTCCGGTACCCTTTCTTAAACATTCGGACCACCACCCTGGTCTGCCAGTCCAAGGGTACTGTTCCCGAAGTCCATGCGTCATTGCAGAAGCGTGTCAGCCACAACAGCCCCACAATATTCAGAGCCTTAAGCATTTCCGGGCGAATCTCATCCACCCCTGGTGCCTTGTCACCAAGGAACTTGCCAACTACCTCAGTGACCTCCACTAGGAAAATGGAGTCTGACACACCAGAAGCCTCTTGCCCCAACTCCTATGAGGGAGGGCATGTCTCTTGAATTAAGGAGTTCCTCAAAGTGCTCCTTCCATCTGACCAACAATATCCTTATTTGAAGTCAGAGTTTCTCCACACCTGCTGAATACAGCTTGGGTGAAGTGCCAAGACCGCTCCTGAGTCACTGGATAGTTTTCCTTGAAGCCGACCGAAAGTCTTTTTCCATTGCCTCGCCGAACCGCTCCAAGGCTCTGGATTTTGCTTCCGCTGCCACTGCCACCTTTTGCTTGTCTGTACCTATCTGCTGAGTCAGGAGTCCTCCGGGCCCCAGTCCCTAAAGGCCTCTGTCTTCAGCTTGATGGCTTCCCTCACCACCGGTGTCCACCAGGGGGTACTTGGGTTACCGCCCTGACAGGCACCAATAAGCTTTTGGCCACAGCTACCCCTACCTGGCAGCTTCCAAGATGGAGGTTTTCAACAGGGTCCATTCAGACTCCATGTCCCCTACCTTCTCCGGTACACAAGAAAAGCTCTCCCAGAGGTTGGAGTTAAAATCATTTAGAACAGGGGCCTCTGCCAGTCGTTCCCAGCAAACCCTCACTGTTTGCTTGGGCCTACCAGGTCTGACCATCAGTCTTTCCTGCCATCTGATCCAACTCACCACTGGATGGTGATCAGCTTACAGCTCAGCACCTCTCTTTACCCGAGTGTCCAGGTCCCAAGTCCGATGAAATGACAACAAAGTTGACCTTTGACCCAAGGAGCTCTGGTACCACATACATATGTGAATATTCTTGTGTTTGAACTTGGTGCTCATTATGGACAATCCATGCCTAGCGTAGAAGTCCAATAACAATTCACCACTCAAGTTTAGATCGGGCTGGCTGCTCTTCCCAATCACCCCTCTCCAGGTCTCCCAGTCATTGCCAACATGAGCATTGAAGCATTGACTATTTAAGGTAGAATGGAAAATTTGAATAAGAACCCTTTAGCTTTTTTTAATTTTGTTGTCTTTTCTGTAAACTTTGTTCAGTTCAGTTGTTTTGTCTAAAAAACTAGTGGTTTGTTGACGAAGCTCCCCATGTTTCTGTAAAGCTTGAGTTATTTTAATCCTGCGCAAAAAACGTCCAAAATTATATCTCAACTATACATTTTTTTTTATTAAGGTCTATAGTACTTTAAAAATTCTTTTTATGTGTAGTTGCACAACTGTTTGTGTATACTATTAAACTGACATGCCAAAAGTCATGCGATAGTAGTATGTAAATTGATTATGAAGTGGCATTACCTCAGGGGACATCTGAGAAAGCCCACACCTGTATAAGTTGTAAGGTGTTATCTTGTGAGTGAGGTTGAACACTGGCCAGCATGCTCATGGCAAGGCAATGTGAATTATCGGAGTTTGAAAAAGGCATGATAATAGGTGCCAGACGGATGGGACATTCAATTTCTGAAGTTGTGTGGGCATTTAACATTCCTTGATGCACAGTGTCACATGTTTTCAGGAATACGTCATAGAAGGTATTACCACTCACAGTGGACAGCGCAGTAAGCATTCATGGGCGGCCAATGAGCGTGACCAGTGGCGTCTGGCTAGAATTGTTCATAAAAACAAACAAGCGATATATATATATATATATATATATATATATATATATATATATATATATATATATATATATATATATACATATACATCCACACATTTTTAGCATGCTGTTATTAAAAGCCTATATTATCGTTACCATCATTTTTGCGTTCAATGTTGAAATACAAACTGACTTGTTTAGGACGATTAGGACTTGGGCCTCAACCTGAGACTTGCCTGTACTGGCACTTAAATCAAGACTCAGCTGTCTTGATTTGGGACTTGACTTGGGATTCGAGTGTCAAGATTTGAGACTTACTTGTTACTTGCAACTTAACAGACCACCAAAACCATCCCCATCAAGTAAACAGTACTTACAGCTTTCAGTTTTCACCAGCTCCACTTGCTTCAAATCTGAAAAAAAAAATGTTTTCGTCCATTCTTGCAAAGTGGAGAAAATTTGAAATGAAGAAAATTTGCACTAGAAACCATAACTAGGCCTCAGAGATGTGGAGTAAGGTTTCATGGATTGATGAGTCTAAATTTGTAATTGGGATTTCCAAGACTGTGAGAAGCAGAAAATGCAAAGCCAACCTCTAAGATGAACTTTGGAAGTATTGAAAAATATTCCTGCAGATTTCTTTTAAAAAACTGAAAGCAAATCTCCTGAAAAGAACATGCATTAAAAAATGCTAAATACAATTTTTTTATTTTTAGAGCTGGTTATTGAGGTTTCAGTGTAATTTTATGATAAATATATGTTTTTGCTTTTTGACACTAAAAACCTTATACTTTTCCTGGATCTGTCTTTGAATTATGAAGTTAAACAAATACAGTACATTAGCTGCTCTTTTTAGTCCTTTGAATTTATTAAAAATCTAAACAAATAAATTGTTTTCTACTTGTTTTCCAGGTATAAGTCTACTGTTACTCAAAAACGCTCTTGGATGGTGGTTGCAATTTGCTGGTTCACTGCTGCTCTGTTGAGTTTTATCCCCATGTTTGGATGGCACAACTATAACACTTGGACTGGCACAACACTTGCAAACTCCACCAGTTTTGAATGCAGTTTCTTCACTGTTAACAGCCGTTCGTATCTAGTTAATTTCATATTCTTCGGATTCTTCCTTCCTCTATTGGCTGTTGTGACAGGCTTGCACTGTTACATCTTCCTGACCACTCGAAGGCAGTTCAGAGCAAATATAGGTGTGGCTACTGAGTCCCACACATATTACCAAAAAGAACACAGACTGGCTGCTTCACTGGTTCTGGTCTTGGGTCTATTTGTTGTCTGTTGGCTCCCTCTATTCCTCATGCACACTATAAAATTATATGGTCCTAATATTGAGGTGCCCTCTGTCATCATTCACATAGGTGTCCTCCTGTCTCATGCTAATTCAGCAGTTAACCCCATAGTGTATGCATTTAGGATCCCCAAGATAAAAGAGGAGTTTAGGAAGCTGTACATGAGAGTTTACCATGACGGACAACATCAGCAGACAGACAGTCCAAAAAACAGCAGGGCAAAAGACAGCAACACAGAAAACAGAAGTGCTACACAGGTGTGAGAGTTGTAAAAAAAAACCTCTGCAAGTGATGATATATATATAAAGATGCACAAAGACCTACAGGTCTAAATCATGTCTCAGATCCAGTCATGGCATAACAATAAACCTCAATATTTCTACTGATTTTTTTTCTTTAATTTCTGCATAATTAAGATGTAAACAAAGTTATTTGGAAATATTTGATTCTAGAAAATTCTAGAGAAACTTGCTGGGTCTGAATTGTTCACAGTGGTGGTGATAGGAACCAGATATCCATTTAATGTCTCTACAAGCTCCCTCACAGAAAGTTATTACATGAAATGGTTATTAATATGTGTGTATATTCACTGGTTGTATTGTGGGCCGTAAATAAAATGGCTAATTTTGTGTTGTACTTGAATGAATTTAAAGTTAAATATGAATGAATTGTATCAAGTTGTATCATTAATTAAAATTATTGTACCTGTAACCAGTGGTTCATAGCTGTTTGGTAGATGCTTGGGCAGTCACTGAAGATCACTTTTTCACACAGGGCCCTGTAGGTTTGGATTTCTTTTTCCCTTAATAATAAAGACCTTCATTTATAAACTGCATTTTGTGTTAACTTGTGTTATCTTTGTCTAATATTTAAATTTGTTTGGGGATCGGAAACATTTAAGTGTGACAAACACGCCAAAGAATAAGAAATCAGGAAGGGGGCAAACACTTTTTCACACCACTGTAAGTTATTAAAATGCAATGAGACTTGACAGAAAAACTTGCACATGCAAGTTTTAAATGTAGAATTCATTATTGTTATGCTTTTACTGAGAAAACAGTACATCTCTTACAACTTGTATAAAATGTACAGATTTTTTTAAACTATGTTGTCTAGCACCATAAACATTGGACTTTGGCCTCCCAAGACAAACCATTCAGGCGCCCCATGATTATTAATTACCACATTTGGCAAAGCTCGCTGGTTTGTGTGATGTATTCAGTCTTATGATGTCAATTTAGCATGCAGCAGTGTTAGCTTGCATGTAGCAATATTCACATTTTGGCTTCTGAACAATCTTGTAATTCTGCAGATGTGACAATTTGGCATTTGGAATATTTTTGTTTATCACGGGGCATGATATCAAAAACACCATTAAAGTTTCTTATAGAGAAAATATTTGACACATTAAGCATAAACTTGCATTTGCAGAAGCTTAAACTCCATGCATGTGTGTTCATGAGACTAATCTTGCATATAAAAGTGATGTTGTCTTGTAGAGCAGTATGGCCAAACATGCCTGGTGTGTCAAAGCGAAGGCAGCAGTCGTGGTAGGAGAGAGCTTCCTAGCACTGGTATATGGGGACTCTTTTTCAGTACTCACTGATGCGCATTCAAACTGGCCTGAGCAGGCTGTACCAACACATCGCCCCTTACTGACATAATCAACTTAGCACATTTAAATCCTGTGTTCAAAAACATTTTTTTTTTACACAAGTAAATTTTATTTACTTCATTACACTTCTTTACAAAGTCTGGTGCCATACAAACAGTTTTGCATTGCCTCCTCGATCCCTCTGTCCTAGAGGGAGTGGAGAGTGGAGAGAGGAGGTTTCCAGAGTTGAGGAAACAAATGTGCATCCCATGCAGAAGTCTTTTTTATCGCACTGTGTGATGTACGTGTGTTACAATTTCTCCACCTCCATTTAGTGTAGTCATTGGATGATTACTGTCAGGGTCGGACAGAATTCAGACACTCGCAGACCATGTAAGTAAAATAGGTTTATTAACAAAATGAGGATCCATGATCAAGGTCAGCCAGTCCAAAGTCAAAAACCAGATCATGAAAATAGTAACCATGTGGGAAGTCTAAAAAGCAATGTCCAAAATCCAGAAGCAAGGTCAAACCAGAAAATACAACAATACTGAAAGGGCAATGCAAAAAAGGCAAAGTCGAAAAACAAACAAGGCAATAGTCACACTCGGTAAAGCGAACAGACAGACTAGAAAGCTCAGTAAGGCTCTGAAAACAAAGGTAATACTTCAGAAAGAACCTAAGCTAAAGCCCAGGCTTATATACTAAATTAACAAGGTACAAGAAACAAAGAACAGGTGTGGTTAATCAGTAGTTGGGTGAGGCAGACCAGTGTAGAGTCATGTAAGGGAGATCTGAGCTCATGTGCGGTGTTCTGGGTAATGGAGTCCAGAGATTGGGAGGTAGTGACAGTGGGAACAGAGGGAAGCGTGACAATTACAGTTAATGGGATGGTACTGCCTATGGATGATGGAATTTAAAATTCAAATAAAATGATAATTAATATGTTGATGTGAGTTTTAATAAAGCATTCCCAGGTGTAAAGACAGTTGGTAATAGGATATAAGTGTTTATTACTGGGAGATCTGTGAAAGTGCTGAGTGAAATACGTCTGATTTGGTAAACATATTTGGCGACAATTTCTCTGTTCCTGCATCTTATCCTTGCATCTTATCCTTGTTTTGTCACAGGGAAAGAAATGGAAACAAGAATGTTTAAAGATGTGAAATCCACCCCAAGTTGAGTCTTTCAATTTCTCTGAAATGAAAGATGCGTTTCTCAGCCACATTCAAATGATCTTACACTTCAGTAACTTCAGTATTACTGTATTATCTGCTCAGTGAATAATGTGGAAATATGTAAAAATAGAGAAATGCCTTTTCTAACTCATGGTTTATAATAATAAATATATAATTTATAATAATAATAATAATATATAACAGTAAGACACCACACTGAGTGAGAAGAATCAGCCTCTTACTGAGTTGCCATTTTATTAGTGAATATAGGTACATTATAAACCTATCATGTACCTATATTCACTGGCCAGTTTATCAGGTACACCGACTAGTTGTTGACCCTGTGAGTACGTCACGTCAGCCTTTGGCAACATCAACTATTTTCTTTACAGGAAAATCTATGGATTACATCACTAAATTAGCTATCACTAGACTTAACTGTTTAACGTTAGAAGAGGGGCAGTTCAAATATTTTCTGCTCATTAAACAGAGGAGGGGTAACACCAGGACATCTGTAATGTTTGCGACTGATTCACATGGGGAAAAGAAATCTCAGTATAAATGACAGAGATGGATACTCAATTCACCACCTTCACTCCAGAAAAGAAATGTCAAAACATTTAATTTCTGTATCATTCCCTTTACCCTGAGCATTTACCTTGCTGTAACAAGGAAAAAATTAAGTGAATAATTAAGTGAAACCAGTGTGTCATTGGCGTCACTATTAGTTTGGGAATTCACAGCAAACAGTCAGCTTCACACATAAAATTTGACGTGAGATAACGCGTAAATAAGACAGTATGTTACATACCAGCTTCACTTCATCCACAGAGAACATAAGTAAACACTTCTTCAAGTGCCCCCACACTTAAGAAACTCAGTTTTCACAGGATATGACAGCGTTTTTATCTACTTGTCAATTCACACAGGATTAATATAATCTAAGGTTATTTCTGCTGCTCATTTTATGGTTAAAATGTTAAAAGGTGCTGGAATCTTTACTGAAGTGGGAGCATGCAGTCAGTAAAAATGACTGACATGGCACATTCAGACAGAGATGGGCCTACAGCCTTTAGTGTACCGTAATATGACATTTTCACATTACAGAGGCATGAGACAGTATGATAAGCCTTTACTTTAGTTTGAACCACTCCATTTAAAATTTTGTAGATAATTTCATCGAGAGGTGTGATTCCAATTTTCATTCTTTAACTTTAATATGTCTTAAGATATCCACTGTACAACCCAGTTTCCAAAAAATGTTAAATGTTCAAATTAAGACATTTTATTGTTTTTTGATGCCAGCAACTTGTTTCAAAAAGGTTGGGACAGGGGCATGCTGATCTCCTCATTTCCCAAACACTTACAGAGTGTTGTTAAAAGAAGAGGTGATGCAACTCAGCGGTAAACATGCCCCCATCCCAACTTTTTAAAAACTGGGCATGTGGGCAATGGGCATATTTTTCCAAAAAGCAATAAAATATCTCTGTTTCAATGTGTGATATGTTGTCTTTGTACTATGTTCAATTAAATGTTAGGTTTGCACATCATTGCGTTCTGTTTTATTTCACATTTACTTCACAGCATCCCAGTGATTTTGGGAATGGGGTGGTAATATGTTTTAAGATATCCACTGTAATGATTGTCACATAACACTATGGCTCTTATCACATTGTCATGTGCCACTATTATGGAGGCCCATGTAGGCCCTGTTATGTAGGACTGCCACATAACACTTAGGGGCTTTTATTTTACTGTCACATGCCACTGTCATGTAGGCCAAGTCACTGTCATGATGTAACGCTAGGGGGCTCTTATCACACTGTCATGTGCCACTGTTATGCAGGCCCATGCAGGCTCTGTCACATAGTACTGTAACATAACACTAGGGGGCTCCTGTCCCTCTGTCACGTGGGCCAGGTCAGTGGCATGTGAAAAGGTCACAGTACATTTATGGCTTTAACTGCTGCTCTTCAGATGGGACTAAGATCACTGAGAAATGTCAGTAAAATTTATGTTACCCCACTGCAAACTAATCCTGTCCAAATAGGGCTTTTAGCTGAACCTCAAATGTCTCCCTATGTCCTCCTATATAGTGCACTGCATAAGTCATGAAACCATGGCTTCTACACCTAAATAGTGTTCTTAATGTTATTTAGGGAGTTGTGTAGCTAATAGCTGAATATGAATGGCTTTCACAGTGCTCTACACAGGGAGTAGAGAGCCATTTGAGATTCAGCCACTGTGATATCCAAGATTGGGAGGGTTAATTCAAAAATGTATTCCATTACAGATTACTTATTATGTGTTTAAAAATGTAATTGTACTCTATTCCAAAGGATTTTTATATTAAATTAATGTAATCTGACTTTCCATTACTTTTGGATTACTTGTTTTTAAACTTGTATATTTAAATAATGAGAAGAGAATTTAACTTAACACAAGGCAAACACAAAAACTGCCCTGTTTTATAAAACTGAACAATAGATTA